AGGTGGGCAAATCACCTGAGGTCAGGAGTTGTGGGCGAAGGATTACCCAGGTGCCGAGGCAAGAGACTGAAGGCACAAACTGTTGCAGTATAATAAAATAGAATAAAGAATAGTTATAATACAAATTAGATATAGAGATGATTATAGACAATTATCAATCATTAGTATAAACATTAATCATTAGCTTTTAATATTACTCTTTGTTGCATTACTAATATAACCTAGGAATAACCAGCAGGTATAGGGTTAGGTGCTGAAGGGACATTGTGAGAAGTGACCTAGAAGGCAAGAGGTGAGCCCTCTGTCATGCCCGAATAAGGGCCGCTTAAGGGCTCCTTGGTCAAGCAGTAACACTAGTGCCTGGGAAGGCACCTGTTAGTGGACCGTGAAAGGGAGTCTCCCTTTCTTTGGAGGAGTAAGGGAACACTCTGCTCCACCAGCTTCTTGTGGGAGGCTGGATATTATCCAGGCCTGCCTGCAGTCATCCGGAGGCCTAAACCCCTCCCTGTGGTGCTGTGCTTCAGTAGTCATGCACCTTGTCCACTTTCATGTTCCTCCCGTACTCCTGGTTCCTCTTTGAAGTTCTTAGTAGATAGCAGTAGAACAAATAGTGAAATCTTAAAGTCTTTGATCTTTCTTGTAAGTGCATAGAAGAAAATGCTGATGTATGCTGCCTTCCCTCTCTGCTTTGGCTACCTAAAAGGGAAGGGCCCCCGTCCCATGATCACATGATTTGCTTGACCTTATCAATCACTTGGACAACTCACCCTTCTTACCCTGCCCCTTGTCTTGTATTCGTAGAACCAGGATCTACTACCCATCCAAACAGTAGCCATTTCCCAAATCTCAAGCAAGTCAGAGGCATTCCAAAGTCAGCAACAGACACCACTGTTTTGAATGGCATCTTCTTTTACTAGGAGGGCTTAGAGAACTCAAGTTTTTCTTTCAAGGAGTCCCTGCCAGAAGCTAATGGTTCTCATGGCATCTCCAAAGTCACAAGCAGAAAAAGAGAGAAAGAGCAGGTATCTGCACATATTTACTCTATGGAATTGCCAGGCTACAGGGCAGATAACACTGATTCATATAAGGATATAGGGAACACCAGAAATTATTCTCATGGTTTCCTTGCACAAAACTAATTTCTGCATTTGGGAAGGATGCTAAATTTTTAGCTCACTGAAACTTTTAAAATTACTTATTACTCCATTCTGAGAAGGTTGACATGAGAATGGCAAGGATCATCACTTACCTGTGGAAAAGGTGATTGTTGACCTTGATCTTGGAGCTGGCCTTAAAGTCATCTGGCAGTAGCATCACTGGGAGAGGCACCTGGCTGAGCTCATTGATCTGATAAGCCAAAGCACGAATACGGAAGCCATAGGGAAGGGTGTGGAGAGCTACCCACACACTGTGTCTGGGCAACAGTCACGCAAGGGCCACTCAAACCTCATTCCTTTAAAAACACTGGCTATGCATGTGCTTGACAGAAGTGAGAGAATGTGTCTAACCCTTCTGCTGCCCAAGAAGGACTACAGTAAGCAACTCTCACACACAGCCCCCAACACGCCCACCCTGTGGAACTTCATGCTCACAACAGTCATTTTATATTAGGCTAACCCTGTAAGGAACTCAGGACTATTTTTAAAGCTGTGAGAAATTCTAGAAAAAAAAAAAAACTCTGCAAACTCAAGGCAGCTACATATTCCATTAGAAAAAGAAAAAAAAGGCATTTTTAATATGCACAAGAGCATTAATGGGATTCTGTGGGGCCAGCCGCAGCAAAAAGGATAAATGTCCAGATCCTGCAAAAGGCATCTCTTTGCAAACAGGACCAGTCTTCCTAGACCACTCTGACCCAGTTGTTTGCAGTAGGCCCCCACCTGTCTAGGTGTAAGGTAAAGGAAGAGCAGCTGATTTCAGAGTGAATGCAGGCAATCAGAGGCTGTGAACTCATTAAGGCATCTGTTTCCTAAAGCCAAACTAACCCACAGCCCAAAGGACACAAGCATCACATGCTCTCCTCAGCCCCCAGGATCTGCAGTCTGCTAATTCAGGGTAGAAAGGGAGCTCTGGTACTTAGAAATCCTGAGTTGTACTTTCTCCTTGGTGTTGCCACAGTATCTTTCACCTGCCTTTTTTACTGCATGACTCCAATCACTAGTTTATGTAAGTTCACCTATCCAGATTGCAAGCTCTTCAGGAGCAAGGGCTCATTCTAGTCGTCTGCATCTCTCAGGTGTCTAACTAGCACAATGTTTGGCACACAGTGATCCTGACATGTCTATTAACTGAATAAATGAATGCCTTACCTATCCTTACTAGATCATTCCACAGAGGCTATGAACTGCAGTCTAACCTAAATCATACACACTGCAGTGCAACCAACTCCTCCCGTTCTCAGTAGAAAAGGAGGACAGAACATATTCCTCCAGACAAAAAAAAAAAAAAAAAAAAAGCCACTTGAGATTCTGAGCCTAAAATTCAGCTACAGCTCCTCCTGCCCCCTCCTCTCCACCTGCTAGGCAAGCTGAATCATCACTAAGACATATGTTCAAGGAATTTCTCCATTCCAAACACTTGAAGTAGATGTGTGTTGGCAGAGGGTGGGGTGCTGGGGCTAGAGTATATATACCTAGGGAAGCTGAGGTAGGTCTTACATGTAACTCCCCCAATCCTTAACAAGGGAAAACCCTCCCTGTTAAGCATCCCACAGGGAATGGTTGAATCACCTGGTAGGTACATATGAGAGGCAGTCCTACCTCCATCAGCCTTCCCCATACCAAGTGCCTTCCACTGAATACTCACTAAGAGCTTACCACCCGGAGAGCCACAAATCCAAAAGGGATCCGACTGGCCACAAACAACATTCTTAATTTGTGGTTAAGAAAATCTTTACCACAAATTAAAAATGTGACAGAACGGATATTCTTCCTCACAACTTCCATCTCCACAGCCTAGCCAAGACCATAACCATTCAAGAACGTTGATTTCGAAAATATTCGGTGTCACATTCGAGATCACTGCATTTCTCCCACTCCAGACCTGATGGAAGATGGGTAATGGCTGTGCTTCTTTCAGCTGAGGTATCCTCAGGAAAGGGGATGGAGGCCTCCTCCTAACTCCCAGAGCAGTTTCCTGCTTCAAAAGTTCACCACCATAGTGACCGCAGGAACAGAGCGCCTCAGCCTTCTCTTTGGTCAACAATCGCCACCACCTACACCAAACACGATCGCTCCAGCCAGCGATAAGGATGCAGTTAAGACCAAAGGCATATATACGTAAGTCCTAAGAGAGTGCAACTTCTAGCTCAGGGTGGGGTAGCTTCTCTGAAATGCTGTACCTCTGGAAGGGAAAGGAAGGGACAAGCAGGATTAGAAAGTCCAGGAAACCTGGAGCTTCACCGAGACAAAGCCAAGATTCAAAAGCCAAGGACCGGGGCTGGGAAGCAAGGTGGAAAGCAAAGTGAAAGAACTTCATCCATCTATTCCCCTCGGCCTCTCACCCTCCACCTACACTCTCACCAACAACCACCGGAGAAAAAGCCACTCCCCCTAATGTCCTCCCCGCTTGCGCCTGGTCCTGGTCAGTCCCTGTAGCCTGGGGCTGAAGCTAGACATGGCAGGAAGGAGTCAAAGTACAGGGAGCTGGATTTCACGGGGGGAAGGTGGAACTAGAGTGGAGCAGTAAAGGACTGATGGGGAGAAGAAAGCCCAGTCAGAAAACCTGCTGGGGGAACACCTGGGGATTGGTGGGCAGGGACCAAGACAGCCCGGGGGAGGGGAGTGGCACTGCGTGGGGCTCCGGAGGCTGGAGCCTGGATTAGGCACGCCTCGGAGCCGAGGGGTTTGAACGGGACTGCAGGGGTCTAGGGCTGGTTCTCACCGAGTGGGCTACGCCCCACAGGAACACACCCATCAGCGGGTCGGCCGCCCGGAACACCTTCACCTTCTGCTGCACAAAATGCTTCTTCTTGGTTTTGGAGGCAAAGCCGAAACCTGGGCCGGGGCCTGCTGTCGCCGCCGGTACTGTGGCTGGTGGGACCGAGGAGGACGCCATAGTCTCCCGCGCAACCGACCAAGTGGAAGCCGGAGCCGGCAGCAATCCAGGAGCCCGACCCCGGAAGCAGCGCTCACCTGCGCCGCTGTCACGTGACCGGAGGCCGGACAACGGACGCGCGAACAGAGAGGGGCGGGACGGGGCGGGGCGACGCTGGCCCCGCCCCCAGCGTCTGCCTGCCCAATGTTCGCGCAGTGTGTGGGCTCACCTGGCGTGCGGGATCCCTGTAAGCTGACGACGGAAGCGGCACGCGAAGCCCCTCGACCTGTCAACTAGGAGATCGTGGTGCGGCCTGGGTTGGCCTGATTGACTCCCAAGGTCTAGGGCTTCTTTGCTGCAAAGTGGCCGCCTTCTTCTGGCTTTGCCCAGTTTCTAATGAGTAACCTCGGACCTGATGCTAATGTGAAAGCATTCTTACCGAATGGGGGTTGGGAAGGGGAGGGTTTTGAAAACCCAAAATTCTTATCAGTGGTCTCAGGCGTCTTGAAATTCATTCATTCGTTTAACAAGTATTTATTGAGCACTTACTTGTACTAGGTCCTGGTCTAGGGGCTGATTTTCCTTTTATTAAAGCAGAGGATAGGACAGTGACTGCTCTGAAGTAGCTGGGAGTCTAATGGCACTGGTTGGCCAGTGAAGATCAAGTTTGCGGTATGCGAGGTATGAGCTATCCTAGAGCTGTGTATGAAGCAAAGCCAATGATACAAAGAAAGGAAGTGTAGCTGGTCAGGGAAGGCTTCAAAGAGGATAGAGACTTTACTGAGTTTGGAAGGGTGGGTGGAGTTCAGGAATAGAGGTTAAAAGGTTTTCTAGACAGAGAGAACAGCATACAAAGATATGGAGAGAAGAAAGAATGAGGCCAGGTGCGGTGGCTCACGCCTGTAATCCCAACACTTTGGGAGGCCGAGGCGGGAGGATCACCTGAGGTCAGGAGTTCAAGAACAGCTTGGCCAACATGGTGAAACGCCGTCTCTACAAAAATACAAAAATTAGCTGGGCATGATGGCAGGTGCCTGTAGTCCCAGCTACTTGGGAGGCTGAGGCAGGAGAATCGCTTGAACCCAGGAGGCAGTGAGCCGAGATCATGCCATTGCACTCCAGCCTGGGCAACAGAGCAAGACTCTGTCTAAAAAAAAAAAAAAAAAGAAAAAAAAGCCCGATGCGGTAGCTCACACCTGTAATCCCAGCATTTTGGGAGGCCAAGGTGGGCAAATCACCTGAGGTCAGGAGTTGTGGGCGAAGGATTACCCAGGTGCCGAGGCAAGAGACTGAAGGCACAAACTGTTGCAGTATAATAAAATAGAATAAAGAATAGTTATAATACAAATTAGATATAGAGATGATTATAGACAATTATCAATCATTAGTATAAACATTAATCATTAGCTTTTAATATTACTCTTTGTTGCATTACTAATATAACCTAGGAATAACCAGCAGGTATAGGGTTAGGTGCTGAAGGGACATTGTGAGAAGTGACCTAGAAGGCAAGAGGTGAGCCCTCTGTCATGCCCGAATAAGGGCCGCTTAAGGGCTCCTTGGTCAAGCAGTAACACTAGTGCCTGGGAAGGCACCTGTTAGTGGACCGCGAAAGGGAGTCTCCCTTTCTTTGGAGGAGTAAGGGAACACTCTGCTCCACCAGCTTCTTGTGGGAGGCTGGATATTATCCAGGCCTGCCTGCAGTCATCCGGAGGCCTAAACCCCTCCCTGTGGTGCTGTGCTTCAGTAGTCATGCACCTTGTCCACTTTCATGTTCCTCCCGTACTCCTGGTTCCTCTTTGAAGTTCTTAGTAGATAGCAGTAGAACAAATAGTGAAATCTTAAAGTCTTTGATCTTTCTTGTAAGTGCATAGAAGAAAATGCTGATGTATGCTGCCTTCCCTCTCTGCTTTGGCTACCTAAAAGGGAAGGGCCCCCGTCCCATGATCACATGATTTGCTTGACCTTATCAATCACTTGGACAACTCACCCTTCTTACCCTGCCCCTTGTCTTGTATTCAATAAATATCAGCATGCCCAGCCATTCGGGGCCATTACCCATCTTCGCATCTTGGTGGTGGTGGTAGTGGTCCCCCAGGCCCAGCTGTTTTCTCTTTATCTCTTTGTCTTGTGTCTTTATTTCTTACAATCTCTTGTCTCCGCACACAGGGAGAACACCCACTAAGCCTCGTAGGGCTGGACCCTACAAGGAGTTCGAGACCAGCCTGATCAACATGGTGAAACCCCATCTCTACTAAAAATACAAAATTTAGCCAGGCGTGGTGGCACACGCATATAATCCCAGCTACTCAGGAGGCTGAGGCAGGAGAATCGCTTGAACCCGGGGGCGGGGGTGGGGGGCGGAGGTTGCAGTGAGCTGAGATCCTGCCACTGTACTCCAGCCTGGGCGACAGAGCAAGAATCTGTCTCCAAAAAAAAAAAGGACCACTCAGGCATGTTCCTGGAGGATGACTTGAGTATTGCAAAAGTTCAGGGACAGATAACGAACCAAAGCAGTGGCTGCTGTGTTTGAAAGAAGGGGATGGCATCTAAAGATGCAGTTTGATGTCAACTTGGAAAATTCATTTGAATGTGGGGGTTGAAGGAAAAGAGAGGCATTGAGAGTGAGTCTAAGGCTTCTCGCTAATGATGATGATGACATCAAAGAGACGATGGTGACATGAAAAGGAGCAGATTCAGAGGAAAGAGAGTTCGGTCTGGAATATGTTTGAAGCATCTTAGGTCAGTTGGACACATGCTCCCGCAGCTGAGCAGAATGGTCTGGACTGGGGATACAGATTTAAGAATTGTTGTGGAATATGCAGGCATGGATGACATGTCTTAGAAAGAGCAAGGAAGGAACCAAGGGCTGAGCCCTGGGATAGAGCAGCATTTAAGAGACTTGGGGAGGAAGACTCGGAAGGGTGGCCAGGGAAGTACAGGGAGCCAAGAGAGCAGGGTCACAGAAGCCAAGGGGAGATGAGTTTCAAGGAGGAAGGATTGAAGAAGTGTCATATGTCACGGAGAGGTGAAGCGAAACAAGGACTGTTGTCCAAGAGAAATGTCCACCGTATTTGGTAACTAATGCCATTTGGAAAAGCAGTTTTGAGCAGAACAAGCAGCAGATCAAGGTGGGCTAAGGAATGAATGAGGGGTGAGGAAGTGGGGATGTGACGCTTGGGATGGTTTCCGGATATTTGGCTTTAAGAAAACAAGTAAGATAGAGAAACACATAGTAAAGGGAGGGACTCTTATGGGAGGGACCTTACAAGGAGATGAGATCACTGAGACAGGCATTAATAAAGAAGATGCACCAAGGCGGGCGGGTCACTTGAGGCCAGGAGTTTGAGACCAGCCTGGCCAACATGGTGAAAACCCATCTCTATTAAAAATGCAAAAATTAGCTGGGCATGGTGGTGTGCGCCTGTAGTCCCCCATACTTGGGAGGCTGAGGCAGAAGAACCGCTTGAACCTGAGAGGCAGAGGTTGCAGTGAGCCGAGATCGCGCCACTGCACTCCAGCCTGGGCAACAGAGCAAGACTCTTAAAAAAAAAAAAAGCTGCAAACTCCTCAAGTCTCCATCAGTTTATCAGTTTTAGATATTTTATATATTTATATATTGAGATTCTATATCAGTATCTCAAGAATGAAATATCTAGAAGGGATTCACCTTAGCCTAAAGAAAGGAGATTTATCACTTGTCAGAAGGGAGAAAGAAAGGATATGTGCAGACACAGATAGGTAATTGTGTAGGTGCATGTGGGCAGGGGGGAAGATAAAGAATTTTAGGCTCAAGTGCCTTAGATGACAAAGTTGCTGCCTGAGAGAGGAGGGTGGAAAGGGTGTAGACGCTTGCTCTGGGAGATAGGAAAGTGAGCAGCACCGAATGTTCTGGTAGGTTTGTAGACTCTTCAGTTTTATTTGCCCCAGTTTTTTGGGTGTGCAGTTTTCTCCATCTGAGAAGCTTTGAGGTATGAGCAGAGAAGAGAGGTAGAGTATGCTTTAAAATGGGGATTGGAAGGGTGACTGTAGTGGATGATCTTGGGACAGGAGTATTGATCTGTTGGCTGTGGAGAGATGATGACACACTAGAGTGGGAAGGAATTGATGCCAGGACTGAGGCTGCTCTGGGTAAAAAATGAAAGAGCAAGATATTGCTTTTGGTAGAAATTACAAACAGTGTAGATATCCACCAGTAGTAGACTGGTTGAATGAACTGTAGGATAAATGTGAAAAATTATATTTTAATGAGGTCAATTTGACATAAAAAGATCTCCAGGATATATTGTCAAGTGGGAAAAAAACCAAGCCTAAGTCTATAGAAAAACATCTGGAAGGATATATTCTATCAAGTTCCATTACATCCAAGGAAGGGAGTGAGATTGGGAAGGGATAAAGAATATTTACAACAATGTAGAGTCATCAATGAATTTATTTTATTTTAAAGATATCTATGTACACCAAGTAAATACACACAGGGGGTTGTGCAGTTTGGTTTGTCTTCCACGCTGGCATGCAAAATTTTGGCAGATGTGAGTGGGCAGGCCAGGCGCCCCTTGCAGTGACCCTGGCTCTGAAAGGGATGCGGTGAAGGTGGGGAGCAGGAGGAGGAGGAGGAGGATGTAGTGTGAAGCTTCTGGTGAAGGGTTTGCGTGTGTGTTGTTTCTTTTTTATGTAAGTGAATTATATTTCCCTTACATCTTGCTAAAGAGAAGGCTGCTCCCTCTGTGTCATCTCTCTCCTCATCTGCGCTACACCCTCACATTTTCTTATGTGTTTTTAAAAGAACCATGTGGTGGCAACATTACATAAAACCCCCTGGATTCTTAAGTGCCCTGCTGGCAGCAAATATTAGCCTAAGTCCACAGGCCCACAGGAACCTTCCTTCTACCCTAGTGGGTCTGGAGACAGCGTGGCTTGTCTACCCCACCGTTGCCCTCTTTTCTGTGAGTTGCAGCTTTAGTGCGAGGAGCCAGATTGGACCGCCTTCCTCAGAACAATGGTTTTCCAACTACTCCACAGAATCCTCAGGGTCTCGTAGGACTGTTCAAAGGCTCATTCGCTGAGGAGGCTTTGAACAGTCAGTCCTAAGGACCCTGAGGATTCTTCCACCAAAAAAAGAAAGTGCAAACTGCCCAGGT